GCGACGTAGCGACGTCATGCAAATGACAAACTTTTACAAGCTGATGAACCTCAAACACCATCATTAGTTTCCATGTAAACTGAAGGATGATATGTGTGGTCCAGCGTCTGAGGCAAAGCGGGCTAGAACGTAGCTCTTTTAGTCCCGTTCGGGGGGAGGAGCCTAAGGCTGCCCAACCAGCACACATACGCATCAGAATGTTCAGAAGCACACCTGCCGCCATAGAAAGGTCCAGGTACCTCCAAGACAGGACAGAGGACAGAACGAGATGAAGACTCCTGACCAGTTTTACGGCCAGCTCAGCAGATTTTTATCAGAGCACGACTCACTAACCTGACCTCCAGACCTCCTCTGACCCTCTGTTTTTACCTGAAGTCTGGCCTGTTTGTTGATGATGTCATCATCTGTCTTGCAGTCGCCTACGCACAAAGACGTCCACCGACCAATCAAACCTCTGGATCTCCAGGACGTCCAAACCCAACAGCATGGAAGTGTGACATCACCATCTGAGCCATGTGATCATCAGAAGCTTTTATTTTGAAGTTTTCTTATTGTTACCTCTTCCTTCCTGTTGCTGGCACCCCCTGCAGTCTGCAGCTCCATCAGTTTGACCTGTGAGAACCTCAGGGTCAACCTTCTGAGAGCTGCTGAAGAACAACCAGCTCAAGTGGAGGGTTAAATCAGGTACAGAGCAGCGAAAGGGTAAAAAATTCACGCCACGAACCTCAGCGGTCACACTGGAACCAGCTGGGACAGCCGCGCCCTTTCAAAATAAAGCACCAACATAAAGTTCCAGGGTCAGGATTAGAGACAGAGACAAGACCTACACCAGAGGGCTTCTCCACTAAGCGAGCTAATCCCAAAAGCCTGGCTCACTCTGAAAACCACGCTTTACTTTCCCCAAAATGGGTTCCACGACCATGCCTAGCCTGAAGCCCCTCCCAGTCACCACGGTAACACGTGCTGGAGAACAAACCTGCTCTGTGGCAGGCTAGCAGCTAGGCTAGTTGAAGCTGGTGAATATATTTGTGGTGTCACGTTTTACGTTTTTCTTGTCAACAGCTGGCAGCTGTGAAGTGGTGCAGTAGCGCCACCGCTGGCCCACAGCAGCAGCTGCAGCTTTGTTCTTGATGCTGAATAAACTTTAATATTGAATTGATGTCTTCACACGTTTGTGTTTAGTCTCATGATGTCAGCATTAATAATGAGTACAGTTATAGAGGCTCCAATCCAGTCACATGACCAGAAATCGACCTGATTTTCAAACGGAACAACGATGGATTCGTTTTAACGTACCGAAGGTCAGGGCAGGGCTGTAGCTCAGCGTCAGGGCTGCCAACGATGGGGTCAAGGGTCAAACCCGGGGGGGTATTATTGAGACTTTTGGGCTCTACGGTTTATTTATTTATTGGTACTCTGTACGGAAGAGGATTAGGGCCACTGAGGAGAAAAAAAGGAAAACAAAGAGAATTCTGACTTTTCTAAAAAAAAAAGTGAAAGCTTCAAGTGTGTGAAACAAGTTAAATATGACTTAAGTGTTGTTTGCGTGCATGTTGTTCAGTAGCTAACGCTATCATTAATACCATCTGGTTTTATGAGACCTACACACGGTCCGTGATGCGTGTTTGGGGAGCGCAGGCGTGAGAGCGTGAAGAGGGTCAAGTGCTCAAGGGTCATGCTCAGAGAGAAGGGCCACTACATCAGAATGACTTGTTTCTACTTATTCTGCCTTCCCCGCGATCCACTCTCTTCCTTCCTATTCATTTTCTCTCATTTTGAACCTATTTTTATTCATTTTTGGAAATCTTTTTGATACTTAAATATTTAAGTGCCTCTTATCTTGAGATGCTTTAGCTCATTTTCTTTCTTTAGACTAAATATGAATGAAAAATGGATGAAAATGAAATAGTGAATTGTTATTTATTACATGAGAAATGAAAACGATCATGACTGTTTTTAACATGAAAACAAACACGTCTGGTGTGACCTCAGCAGGCTTCTGTACCTGCTTGTAACTTATATTAATAAGAACTTGTTTAATTGAGTCTCATCCAGAAAATCAAGCCTGTTAGTGGAGTCACCTTCTACCTGATGATAAATAGCACAGGTGTAGCAGTAAGGGATCTACGATGTAGTTTCTGAAAACACTGACCTCTAGTCTCCTTCACAAGTTTGTCCCTGTTAGGGATGTGTTCATCTTACAGGATTGGTTCTAAAAGTGCTTCTGCAGCTATAACACCTTTTTTACACGTACTAGTCTCATGTCATGCTGTGTTTGCATATATTTAGATTTTAAGCACTTACCTGTCGGTGAAAAGTTCAACTGCTTCAGCCAAGGTCCTTCCTTAAAGTTGCAGTGTGGTTTCCAGCCACTAGAGGGCAGTGCATACTAATTTACACCATCTTGACAGTAAAATGTTACCTGTGGAGCAGAAAGAGTAAAACCTGGGCGTGGCTCCTCACACTGATGGTTCTTCGGGTAATTCCATAAGAGAATGCAAGGCCAGTTGTAGTTTTCAGACGCTGAACTTTCTGCATCTGCGCCTGCCGATGACATCATCATACTACGGAAATACTGCTCAGCCAACATATACTGTTCTTTTGTGTATGTTCTGTTATTAAACTCACGTTTCTTACTGCCTAAATGTTTCTGAACGAGGTACCTTCCCAACTCAGCCAGTGATCTGGTGTGATGTCATCAACAGGCGCAGGTCAGAAGGAAACATGGCGCCCCCTAGAGGCCAGACACGCACCTGATGTACTTTAGACCTGGTTTTCTCATACTTAAATGGCAAGAAGCCACCAATATCGTTCAACAGCCGCACATCATCTTCAACAACGTTTTGATGGATATTTCCAGAGACTGAAGGTAGAAACTACTGATTGTCTCTTTAAGCGCGTAGTGGTAGTCTAACGCTATTGGTTCTGGTCGGCGCTCTGGGGGGGCGTGCTTGGAAAAAGAAAGCTGTATTGTTTATGTTACATGATGAGAAAATCACTAACGGGTTTCTGAAGAATCATTCATTTGTCACGGGAAAACTCCAGAAAGCTGTGCCGTATCACGCACCACACTTGGCGGAAGTACTTCCGACCAAAAACACGTTTGAAAAATGTCCCAAAATTATTCAAATAAAATGAATCAAATATCGGGACTTTAATGAGAACTGATTCTAATCCGTAATTAGCTACAATCGCAGCGCCACCTCCCCAATAGCGACAACTACAGGGCAGCTGGTGATCTACAACGCGTAACTCTCACTCATTCATTCAGCTAGCGTCCAGTAACAGGGTCTGCCTGTGAGCTTTGCTTCTTTAGTCCTTCAGTGCAATTCCTACAGGCCATCTATCATCTGAATCCGCCTGTCCATGTAGGGTCGCGGGGGGGCTGAGGCAGGGGGAGGGGGCTGAGGCAGGGGGAGGGAGCTGAAGCAGGGGGGGGGGGGGGGGGGGGCTGAAGCGGAGCAGTATAGACGCAGACACTACTGTTGTTAAAAGACGTTTAACTTTGAAAATGTGGACGCAATTTTAATTGTCAAAAACTCCAGCGAACCAACCGACCCCCCCAGGTGTATGACGTCATCAACGACTAGTCAAAGTCGACTCAGTTTTCATTACTTGACTGTCAACTTTAAAAAAATGAAGTCATGCAGTCCCTGGTACACACACACCTCAGGGTAATTAAACACACCAATGAGCCCGAGTCGTGTTTTTGGGGGAAGCCGGAGAACTCTGAGGAAACCCACGCGTGCACAGGGAGAACATGCATGCATGGAGACTCCAGGACCTGCACACAACTAATAACCCCTGCACCACCACCTGGTGAAAGTCATGGTTTAACCCCCAATCTAACCCTTAATGCCATCGAGGCCCATCTTTAGTCTTGGGTATGACCCGACCCCCCAGTCCCAGGGCGGACACGCTAGCACTAGGCCACCGAGATAGGACTGAATGTACCGGAGCTTCAGGCGTGGACCCGACCACCTCTGTAGTCTACCGGTACGTTTGCTCAAAGCTCTCTGCTTAGTTACCCAAGTCTGAGTGGCTCCTTTCTGACAGGTGACCTGCAAGTGGACCACCAGAACACCATCTGACTCTGCGTGGATTGTGCTGATTGGATGTTTGGAGTCACACGGCCCTCGTATTAATGTGCCTGTAGAAGCATCTGAAGCATTAAGATTGAATGTTTAAACATTTACAGGAAGTTTGGTTTGATTAAACAGCTGAATGAGTCGGAAGCACCAGCCGGGTCAGTGGCGTGTTCTGGTACCGCCCGTCCGCCACGCTGAGGTCCGGTGTGGATGAGGAAACAGACGCAGCAACTGAAAACTGACTTTATTCAAGTACAGGTTTCCTCTTGGGGTCACAAACAAACCCCACACTGGCATGTGGAGTCAGGTGGTTTCCATGGCAACGTCAGTTAAAACAGAAACACTGAATATCGAGAGGGTTCTGGCAGTTCAAACCCAAAGTCACCGACCCAAACCGCTAAGAACCCAGCAGCAGCGTCTCCGTTAACTTGTGTCCAGCTGCTGGAGGCCGTCTCCAGGCGTGTCCGCCGTCTCCTCTTGCTTGTAGGTCAGAACGTTGTTCCCATCATCGTCGAACAGGACGAGCGGAGCCTCCTCCTCCGGCGCGCCCGTGCCGTGGACACGCCTCTGGTGATGCTGCAGGTTCCCTCGGCGGTTGAAGCGGGCTGGGCAGAGCTCGCAGGCGAAAGGCCGCTCCCCCGTGTGGATGATCACGTGTCTGGCAAGCTGCGAGCGACACTTCTTGTCCTTTCCACAAATGTGGCAGACAAAGCTCTCGGGAAGGCGAGCTCCATTGGCGTGCACAACCTCGCGGTGCCTCTTGAGGTGACTGTGGCGGCGAAAGCTTCGACTGCAGAAGTCGCAGGCGAACGGCCGCACATCGCTGTGGATCAGCATGTGGCTGGCCAGCATCGAGCGGAACCGGAACAACTTACTGCAGGCGGGGCAGGGGAAACTGCTCAGCCCCGCTGCACTCCTCCTGCGGCCGGAGGTGAGCGGCGCCTCTTCGGGCTTCGCCTTCAGATGCACACGGGCGTGGTGCTGCTTCAGCCAGGCGGCGCGATGAAAGCCACGCAGGCAGATGCTGCAGCGATGCGGCTTGTCGCTCATGTGAACTTGAGCGTGAGCGGCGAGCTGCGAGTCAGACTTCAGTCGCTTGCCGCACACGCTGCAGGAAAACGAGCTATCAAGCGAAGAGTTGTCCTCGCCGTCTGCATGCAGCAGAGCCTTGTGGCGTTGGAGCTGGTATGGACGGGAGAACTTGCGACCACAGATGTCACAGAGGTGAGGTCGTTCACCCGTGTGAGTCTGGAAGTGGATGGCGAGCTGTGACCTGCACTTGAACTCTTTGCCGCAGTGGTCACAGAGCAGCGAGGCGGGCCGCTGCGCCTCCGCGTCGCCGGATGCGTGCACCACCTTCCTGTGGTGCTCCAGGTCGTTGGTCCTCATGTAGGCTTTGGGGCAAAGGTCACAGTGGAATGGCTTCACACCCGAGTGGATGACCTCATGCGTCTTTAAACGAGATCGGCAGCTAAACGTCTTCCCGCAGACGGCGCACAGCCAGGCTGTTGCTGCGCGGTGCCGCTTTCGCTTGGCCACACCATCGGGGTGTATCCGGGTCAGATGGTGCTGCAGGTTGTCACGGCGATTGAAGCGCAGCTCACAAAGATGGCAGGCGAAGGGTTTCCGCCCCGTGTGGATGAAGGAGTGACGTGCCAGGCTCGACTTGTTCTTCATCACTTTCCCACAAACGTCACACACCGTGCTGTCCAGCTCCAGCTTCAATGCCAGCAGAGGTGCATGCTGGGAGTCCGAGTCCAGCTCGGCATCTTCTGGAGAAGACACGAGACACTGCATGTGAGAGAGACAGAGACAGGGGAGCTGGGAAGACGGTCTGGATCCAGTCAGTCTCACCTGTTGGAGTCCAGGTGGGATCTCCTGATTCCTCCTCCTCCTCCTCCTGGTGGAGGTCCAGTGATCTCTGGTCCTGATGTGGCCTTGCTTGCCTGGTGCCACCGCTCTGAGACGGTCTCTTTCTGGTTCTGGACTGGGTGGGTTCATCAGAGAGTTTGACAGCAGGTCGAATGATTCTGGTTCTGGTCCGGTTAGGGGTGCAGTGCTGCAGAAGGGCACCCCCGTCCGAGCCGTCGGGTCGGACCGTGAGACACTGCAGCAGCATCTCAGGTGAGCCTAGAGGAAGAAGTCCCATTAGACCCGAGAACCGAGTCAGTGAATAGAGAACCGCCGAGTCTCTGCTGGTTCTGACCCGTGGATGGGTACACACACGCGCGCACTCACACACACACACACACCTACATGCAGGCACACACACACACACGCACACACACACACAGCCACACACACACACCCACCTGAGTGTCTCCAGCTGAGCTGCTGCGTCAGCAGATCCACCTGGACGCCGGCGTCTCTGGTCTCGGTCCAGCTGCTTTGACACCCCACCTCCTTCCTGTCCTCCTCAAGACTCTCCCACTGGCAGCCCACCTCCCTGCTCCTCACCCCATCCTCCCCATCCTCTCTCAGCAGGACACAGAGCTCGTCTCCTCCTACAGGAGCCTCCATCTCACGCTCACCTGTAGAAAGTCACGTGATCAACACCTCAGACCCTTTACTGATAGGAGGAGCAGGTCTGGCTGAGACTGCTGTCTGAACCCAGACGCGTACCGTGGAATCGTAGGCTGTCCAAGGAAGGTCCGCCTTTCTCACCTCTGATTGGCTGGAAGGGCTCTCCTACGATTGGCTGTTTCATGTAACAGCAAACAGGTATCTATGGCCGTGTTCGAGAGGAGCCAGTTCTGCGCAGATTAGACCAGCGGTGATTGGCGAGCGGTGCATGTCGGTTAGATTCGTGTCCGACTTGCTCTGACGTCATGCCTACGTAGGCAACGACAACCTCGTGAGATCAAGGCGGCCGCAGATTTTGGAGCCAGGTGCTGCAGTTGCTCTCCCTCGGCTGCTAAACCTAGAGGATGACGGGAAACGCCTGGCTCTCACCTGATCTAAGATCTGATTGGTTCATATTTTGATCCGAACATCCGGTGGTAGAACATGAAATGTTAGTTGGTCACATGTATTCTGTAAATCATGTTATGTTGATGATGACAACTATATAGGCCATAAAGAGAAATGTGATTTGTGTTCTTTTGTCACGTTTCCTATGAGCACACTAAACCTACAGCTGCTAACCTTTACTTATTATTACAGTCATGTCTCCATATACAATATATGATATCCACAAGCACGTGAGGATGTTTCAGCTGCTAACAGGCACCAGAATTAAAAATGAAAATTAAACAAGTATGAACGCTAACGCGATATCTTCAGCTATCGTCACCCGCGAGCTACACATGTAGGGATATCTGTCCGACGTAAACACCGGCTTTCAGCCACGCCCCCTGCTGCTTCCGTCTGCTCTCGTCTGCTTTCCAGGTGAGCCGCAGCTCAACTCGAACACAGCCTATGTCTGCAGCCAGACCTTGAGGAGTTGTGAACGAAGCATTATAAAACCAGTCTGTCCTGGGGTGTCATTTATCAAACATGGCGTAGAATCCTTACTAAAACCGTACTTAAGCTCAGCAAAAAAAGTACTTACGCCAAGCAGGTGTGTGATCTATCAAACATGGAGGACACACAGCTGCATGCTATCTCCGCTTCATAAATCAGAGACTAACGAGAATGTTTCTCAGCTGCATTTTAGTCACATCCTGCCCTCACCACGCCCACTTACTGCCATAAATGGTCAATGCAAATTGCCTTGTGGACCTCATGCATATACATAAGCCGGCTGTTGCAGCGCTCCGCCATTGACATGGTGACCATAGATCAAGGCAGATCAAGGAAGCGCCATTTCACAGAAGCAGAAGATGAGGTACCTGTGGGTGAGGTGGAGAAATGACAGGAAGTGCTTTTGCAAAACAAATAAGAGAAAATCCACAGAGTGGCACAGCGTTGCTGAAGCCGTCAATGCTGACTTCTTCAGAGAGATCTGTGGTGGGTATAAAGAAATGATCCGATCGGGATTCGATCCCCAGGCTCCCGGGTGAAAGTCACGCGCGCTAACCAGTCACCCAAACAGAGACTGCCCTGTACAAGTAGCCAGGTCACATGATCAATCGGGTCACAGTGACAGGACACACACTGTCACAGACGCATGATGTTCTGTCTCAATCTGCCCCCCTCAGGGCTGCACGAGATTAGGAAAACCTGCGATATTCGATAACAGTGCTTAATATTGCGATATCGATATTACTCACAATAAATGAACAAATACTAAAGTATGCAGTGTTGATGTCGTCTGGCGTGTGACGTCTGCTCTGGGTTCAAAGCAAACAAAAACTAATGCATGAATTCCATTACAGCATAACATTTTTATTACAAACATATGCAGCTGCACCTGCTACTGTGTTAGCACCTGCTACTGTGTTAGCAGCTGCACCTGCTACTGTGTTAGCAGCTGCACCTGCTACTGTATTAGCACCTGCTACTGTGTTAGCAGGTGCTAACACAGTAGCAGGTGCTAACACAGTAGCAGCTGCACCTGCTACTGTGTTAGCACCTGCTACTGTGTTAGCAGATGCACCTGCTACTGTGTTAGCAGCTGCACCTGCTACTGTATTAGCACCTGCTACTGTGTTAGCAGGTGCTAATACAGTAGCAGGTGCTAACACAGTAGCAGCTGCACCTGCTACTGTGTTAGCACCTGCTACTGTGTTAGCAGCTGCACCTGCTACTGTGTTAGCAGCTGCACCTGCTACTGTATTAGCACCTGCTACTGTGTTAGCAGCTGCACCTGCTACTGTATTAGCAGCTGCACCTGCTACTGTATTAGCAGTGCACCTGCTACTGTATTAGCACCTGCTACTGTATTAGCACCTGCTACTGTGTTAGCAGCTGCACCTGCTACTGTATTAGCAGCTGCACCTGCTACTGTATTAGCAGTGCACCTGCTACTGTGTTAGCAGCTGCACCCGCTACTGCATTAGCAGCTGCACCCGCTACTGCATTAGCAGCTGCACCCGCTACTGCATTAGCAGCTGCACCCGCTACTGTATTAGCAGCTGCACCCGCTACTGCATTAGCTGCTGCACCCGCTACTGTATTAGCAGCTGCTAATACAGTAGCAGCTGCACCCGCTACAGTATTAGCAGCTGCACCCGCTACAGTATTAGCAGCTGCACCCGCTACTGTATTAGCAGCTGCACCCGCTACTGTATTAGCAGCTGCTCCCGCTACTGTATTAGCAGCTGCACCCGCTACTGTATTAGCAGCTGCACCCGCTACTGCATTAGCAGCTGCACCCGCTACTGTATTAGCAGCCGCACCTGCTACAGTATTAGCAGCTGCACCCGCTACAGTATTAGCAGCTGCACCCGCTACTGTATTAGCAGCTGCACCCGCTACTGTATTAGCAGCTGCTCCCGCTACTGTATTAGCAGCTGCTCCCGCTACTGTATTAGCAGCTGCTGCCGCTACTGTATTAGCAGCTGCTCCCGCTACTGTATTAGCAGCTGCTGCCGCTACTGTATTAGCAGCTGCTCCCGCTACTGTATTAGCAGCTGCACCCGCTACTGTATTAGCAGCTGCTGCCGCTACTGTATTAGCAGCTGCTCCCGCTACTGTATTAGCAGCTGCACCCGCTACAGTATTAGCAGCTGCACCCGCTACTGTATTAGCAGCTGCACCCGCTACTGTATTAGCAGCTGCACCCGCTACTGTATTAGCAGCTGCTCCCGCTACTGTATTAGCAGCTGCTCCCGCTACTGTATTAGCAGCTGCTCCCGCTACTATATTAGAAGCTGCATCCGCTACTGTATTAGCAGCTGCTCCCGCTACTGTATTAGCAGCTGCACCCGCTACTGTATTAGCAGCTGCACCCGCTACTGCATTAGCAGCTGCACCCGCTACTGCATTAGCAGCTGCACCCGCTACTGCATTAGCAGCTGCTAATACAGTAGCAGGTGCTGCTGCATTAGCAGCTTCACCCGCTACTGTATTAGCAGCTGCTAATACAGTAGCAGGTGCTGCTGTATTAGCAGCTGCACCCGCTACTGTATTAGCAGCTGCACCCGCTACTGCATTAGCAGCTGCACCCGCTACTGCATTAGCAGCTGCTAATACAGTAGCAGGTGCTGCTGTATTAGCAGCTGCACCCGCTACTGTATTAGCAGCTGCACCCGCTACTGCATTAGCAGCTGCACCCGCTACTGCATTAGCAGCTGCTAATACAGTAGCAGGTGCTGCTGTATTAGCAGCTGCATCCGCTACTGTATTAGCAGCTGCACCCGCTACTGTATTAGCAGCTGCACCCGCTACTGCATTAGCAGCTGCTAATACAGTAGCAGGTGCTGCTGTATTAGCAGCTGCACCCGCTACTGTATTAGCAGCTGCACCCGCTACTGTATTAGCAGCTGCACCCGCTACTGTATCAGCAGCTGCACCCGCTACTGTATTAGCAGCTGCACCCGCTACTGCATTGGCAGCTGCTCCCGCTACTGCAATAGCAGCTGCTCCCGCTACTGTATTAGCAGCTGCTCCCGCTACTGTATTAGCAGCTGCTCCCGCTACTGTATTAGCAGCTGCGCCCGCTACTGTATTAGCAGCTGCGCCCGCTACTGTATTAGCAGCTGCGCCTGCTACTGTATTAGCAGCTGCACCTGCTACTGTATTAGCAGCTGCACCTGCTACTGTATTAGCAGCTGCACCTGCTACTGTATTAGCAGCTGCACCTGCTACTGTATTAGCAGCCGCACCTGCTACTGTATTAGCAGCTGCACCTGCTACTGTATTAGCAGCTGCACCTGCTACTGCATTAGCAGCTGCACCCGCTACTGTATTAGCAGCTGCACCTGCTACCGTATTAGCAGCTGCACCTGCTATAGGGCTGTAGCGAAGCCTCGACGAAGTCGACGGCTCGATTCTAAAAATTTGTCGACGTCAGATCCGGAAGTCGACGCACCGCGCCCACTTGTTGCATCCCCAGGAGTTTGTAAATAGAAGAGAAATCTGCCTGTTTTTCCTCTAGTTCGCCCTCTTCTCCGCCTTCACTAACATCTCCGCCAAATACCGAAGACCCGGAACAACGTCCGTCCACTACTAGATTATTTTCCTGTTTTGCCCGCCTTCGTCTCCCGGAAACGGACAACAACTTCCGGGGTCAGATGCGCTGCTCCGTCTCTACTGCAGATGTAGAAAATCACTGGGAGCGTTTCTCCCTTCATTAAGGAGCTTCTTTCAGACATGAGGAGAGCTGTTTTGGTGGTAGCAGTCTCTCCTCCGTGCTGGTCTGTTTGCTGCTGGGTGATTTTGGTTTATTTAAACTTGGTAACTTTAACTTAATGTTGGTAAAGCTACTGTTAGCATCTTCGCTAACAGCTTCTTGCGTTGGGATAAGCTGTTACGTTTTGGTTTAGAGTTAATCTTTTTTGTGGTGTAGATCTCCCTTTTATTACATTTAGAGTGTTGTGGGTTTTCGGTTTAGTGTAAAATATCACCTGAGTTTGGTTTAACCCGTAACACCACTCGCCTCACACACATAAGTGACCAAAACAAAGCAGCATGCAGACACTCCATCTTCTACCACCTCTCAGGCAGCAGCCTGCACTCCCAAGTTCTACACGTCACCAGAACATAACCAACCAACACAATAAACGCAGTGTTATACAAAATGGAAGGCCTGTAGTGTTTATTCTCTTACAGTAAGAATTTATCAATTTTTTTGAGGAATTTATTTGAGATTTTCTGGTTTTTGTTAATTGTGCAATAGAAAAATAATCATTAGATTAATTTTCTAAATAGTCATTAGAATAGTCGACTATTCGATAAAATAATCGTCAGAATAATCGTTTTAAAAATAATCGTTTACCCCCAGCCCTAACCTGCTACCGTATTAGCAGCTGCACCTGCTACCGTATTAGCAGCTGCACCTGCTACTGTATTAGCAGCTGCACCCGCTACTGTATTAGCAGCTGGACCCGCTACTGTATTAGCAGCTGGACCCGCTACTGTATTAGCAGCTGCACCCGCTACTGTATTAGCAGCAAAACAACTAACTGCATGCAGTTTCTCAGTGACTTTAAAACATCACCTCCACCATAAAACTTTTTCTGATGCTCCAAATACAGAAAAACATCCCTTACCAGGGTTTTTAGAATAAATAGTTTAAATGTTAAATAATAGTTAACATCACTTACATGCAACAGCAAATTCTCTCATTGCTACTGAACATTTTCTCCACGTATGTGGTTATGATATAAGGCTGTTGCTGTAACTGGGAAGTGAACTGTGCTGGGCCAAACTAGGAGAATATTAAGATTTTCTGAGGGAAAGAGAAAAACAATTGTCTACCTTTCAGAAGAGGAACTGGCAAAAAACTACATGGAAAATATGTGAAAACGTTTGTTTTTAACCCCAAATTGAACAAGTTTACCTAGATCTTAAAAAGCAGCTCAGATGATGAAACTGCAACTATGATTCTGATAACAAGCAAACAAATTGAACTAGCTCCTCTAAGCTAACCGGCTAGCAGAGCTTCTGACTGACAGTTTATGTGCAGCAGCAAATCAACTATCCTGATTAACAAGGTTATAAAAGCTCATAAATGAAAAATCACTTTGATGTGTGGGGGAACTTTTCCAGGCCCTCTTTAGCAGGGTGGGACTGGGAGGAGAGAGCTGTAGCCTTTTAGCTGGAAGCTAACCGGAGCCTGGGCTAACACTAGCGACATGAAGATGGGTTGGTTCACCGGCACGTGTCGGAGTCAGCCCGGTAAAAATGATTAACGACACCGAGCGGACTCACGTTCACGTTTGAAAGCAGCGCTGAATCCAGAAACATCAGCACAAAGTGTGTTCGTTGCTCTGAGCCAGCATGATGAACAAGGGAACGACGCCGCAAACTCTGTTCGGGTGTTGCTTTCCATCCTAAGGTTCTACGTAGGGGGCGGGCGTATTACGTGAACGGACCCATCTGATTGGCTGCATATCAAAAGGACTACATTTGACTGGTCAAATAATACTTCCACGTAAAAAACAGAGCTGGTTTACAAAAAGTTGATGTATGACACGGATGGAAATGTTTGAACCAAACATTTATCGCCGTTTTTGACGTGCTTTGCAATGGGCCTATCGCACGTCCAGTTATCGCGATGAAGATAATTTTTCTATACATTGTGCAGCCCTAGTCCCCCTGCTGATATTCTGCACTTCAGCCTGTGTGTGTGTGGGGGGGATCTTGTTCTGTGTGAAAACGAAGCGGTACAGGTGATAATGCTGCAGGATTTCATAACTGTATCTTCTCAGCAGCAGCGCTGCAGGTGCTCTCCATGTCCAACATGTGTGTAAGCCAGGTCCTTAGTCAACTTAAAGTTGACACATTTTCCGCTAAGTTTTCTTTCCTAAATCCCAACGTTTGCGTGGAAAGTTGCTTACGCAGTTTTCCGACCCCGTTTTGTGCGTAAGCTAGCTTGATGAATGAGGCCCCTGTTCTGTAACAAACCAGTTAGACTTTCTGAAGAACATCAGATGTCTGCTAGCATTCATCACACCATTGGGCTGATATTATATCTCTTGGCACTGGGTTATCTTATTACTATAGTCTATTGTAGTTTTCATGGGTTGGAACAAATGAAACCAATGTAGCAGCTAGCTAACCCAACAAGCTAAGAAGGGCTCCGGGGAGCGTGGGTGGCCCACCCGCATGCTTCAGTGTGAGGCTGTAGTGATGCTGGTCGCCTGTGGAGATCTCAGGGGACTGATAAATGACAAGCCAAAGTGGAGGTGGTGGGAGCCTGGAGAGCAGAGGTTTGTCTGTGTGATGGACTCAGACGTGAATGTGTGGACGCCGTCAACCCTAAACTTCTCAAGGTTAAGCTTCCCATGAGAGGACGGGAACTGTTCTACTTGGAGATGAAGCCATTCTCTCTGTTGGAAACATCCAGCCTTCTGGGATGAGGCCCTCACGATGTCTTTTGTGTTCTTTATTACTCTTTTAGTAAAAGCTGATTCAACACGTTCAGATGATGTTAACGGAGACAGCGCCCCTCTGGTGCTACCTGGTACTGATACTCGATACTTACTGGCACTAGAAGTAGACTAAAAAGTACTCTGTGGTACCTACAGCTGTTTTCCTCACTGGTCACCGTTCTCTTGTAAACACGAAACGGTTTAATTCAACCAACTCTCACATTTTATTCTTGCATCTTTACGTGACCTCTGACCTTCTGACGGGACCCTGCAGTTAAGATTTATTCTTGTTAGCTTTTGTTGGATCTGGTGAAGGTCCACCTGCTCTGTTAACCCGGGAGTCTGTGTTTGTTAATGATGTTGGCTTAATAAAGTTATTTCAAAATAACTTTCTAACATTTCGGTGTTTTGAAACGACTCTCCTTCTGATTCTAACAAACACATTTAAACAAACTGACACTCCGTCCTTGAACCCGACTCACCTGCTGGATGTCTGTTGACACGAAGCAAACCTGCCGCTTTCTTTTTCTGACCGACCAGCTCTGTTAGCTCGATGCTAACAGCAGCTAGCAGGGGTGTTCACGTGAGACCTGCCGCGCGCATGCCAGGTGCACACACTGGGATGTTTTTGACGCAACACAAAGAGTAAAGTCCTCGAGCTCTACTCGATAAACACAAGAACCGATAAACCCAAAAGAACACAAACACGCCAGCCGAGCAGCAGGGCAGAAGCCGGAACTGACTACTTCTTCTGCGAAGGTTCTGCTGCAAGTGTCTCGCTCGCGACCCCATGTGGACACAACCGGAACCACCACAGCAAGAAGCAACCACAATCCTGATGAAACTGGAAAAACGGGTACATTTACGCAAATAACTCAGATATTTCTACATTACTCTCAGCGGTTTTCACGAATAGATACATTTTCAATGTTAACACAAATTAAAATAATTATTTTATTTGTAAAGTCAGACATTTGCCAGAAAGAAAGCCAAGTTTTAAGGTGGATATTCTAGACATTCCCTTCAAGATTCAGTTCAGTCAGAGATGGCTTTTCATACCAGTGCTGTCAGAGACACTTAGAAACCATGACCCACAAATATCCAGTTCTTCAGAACCAGCACACAGGTAAAGGCAGCAGCTTCAAACACATGAGACCAAAAGTCCACACACACACACACACACACACACACACACACACACACACACACACACACACACACACACACACACACACACACACACACACACACACACACACGTACACACAGACACACACACACACACACACACACACACACACACACACACACACACACACACACACACACACACACACACACACACAGCCATGGAATACACCTAATCAACACGTACTAACTGCAGAGGTCACCACTGGCCACTAGGGTGTGCTGCGATCAAGCCTCGAGGGAAAAAGGCGTATTCAGGGATGTCCTGAAGTCACGTACAGGTGACTAATCCCCTGCAGGGACGTGCCCAAAGTCACATACATGTTACTATCCCTCACTGTACATACTGCTGCCTCTCATTTGGATTGCTGCTGCTCAACCATCACACTGCTGTCTATCTATGCTACTGTTCGACTTGTATCTGTAAAGCCAGGTTTATGGTTCTCCGTCAGCTCCGCAAGGGACAGACACGCACGGATTGACGGGAGCGTTTTGCTCTCATACTTCTCCGAGTGTTGCAAAGCAATTGCCTGGCAGGACAACAGAGGGCGTAGCGCTGTTCTGTGGTATCCTGCCATGTATCGGTCCAAGATTGTGTGTTTATATTGTGTTTTTTTTGTGTATATAAGAGACTTTTTAACACAGACATACCGTAAATCCTCTAATACAGGCCCGGGCCTGTATTTGACTCAAGCTCATCAAGCTCCAGGCCTTTATTGGAAGGAGGACAAGAATCAGAGGCAGGCCTCTATTTCTATTTGAGCAAAATGAACTAATGGTTCGCTGGAGTGTTTGACAATTAAAATTGCGCCCACATTTTCAAAGTTAAACACATTTCTTTTAACAACGGTAGTTTCTGCTTCAGCCCTCTCCCCCCCTCCCCCTGCTTCAGCCCTCTCCCCCCTCCCCCTGCTTCAGCCCTCTCCCCCCTCCCCCAGCGCAGCGGCCACAAACTCACTGATGCGCCTGCAGCCTCTCGGAGTTCCTGCTGCTCTAAACATTAAAATAATTATTTCATTTTCTGTTCCTCACTTCTGATGACCTTCAATGGTGTCTGTTTGTTGCAACCAGCAGGTACAAAAACTAACTTGTTTTTATTTGACTATTTTTCTGTCCTGCCTGTTTATTATCTTCCTGCATCTCCTCTCAGTCCTAAAGAGAAACTGCTACCTGGGTTCATATATATTCACCTCATGAGTTACCTTTGAACTGCAGTTCTAAAAGATCTACCGACCGCTAAAACAGCGGAGTGCTCGCTGCTCGCCGGCCGCATCAGTGATCGGTGCGTCACCGGAGGACAAAACTGGTGAAGCGCTCCGATCCACAGCAGCGAAACGCATCAGGCACAAATAAAAGAATAAAAGACAGAAAACATGACAGGAAATGAGCCGACATGAACGATCGCGTGTTAAATTAGTTTTTGAGGTGGCGACATCTGATTTGATAATGTTACTGTGGCCGTGCTCAGGACGCAGATGTCTGGAGCGCGTCAACAAACAGAGCTTTGCATGTGCAAGCTGGTTAAGGTTAGGATGGGGTGAGGGGAAGGTTAAATTGCAAGAGGGTAAAGGTCGCAATTTGGTTAAATGTCCGTTTTACGGCGGGTGTCGGTACCGACACTCTGGCACAGCGCGTTGCCTCCCGACGCGCAGGAGCTTGTCACCTGCTGACAGCAGGCTGCTGTCTTTTCCGAGGGCTGCATCTTGCCGGTCATTATCACGTGACAGTGACTAGTCGACGACAGGCATAACAAGTCACTATAGTGAAGTCGACTAGTTCATACACCCCCTGCTGCTCCCCAGTGTTCTGCAGCGCGCGTTCTCTTTGAATTTGATATCAAATTTTCGCCTCCTCTTCGTCTCTGCACGGTTAAAGTTACCCTCGCGGTCTATCACTGGCAAATCAAAAGTGAGACGGATGACACAACCGCCCCCCCTGTGGTACTTGCTTGTTACCACATTCCACCCGGCCACAATAAAATACCGGCCATTATTCACCTCCGCCGACTCCGACACCGGCCAAAATATGATACCCGGCCGTTAATTGAATACAGGCTTGTATTAGAGGATTTACGGTATTTGTCTCTCATTCTCCCACCTCTTCATGCGTTCACCACCTCTAAACCCACGTTTCCTGTCGTTTCCGTCCACAAATAAAACGCTTGCTGCGCATCTTTTCACTCCTCCAGTCACGGGAGAATTAAACGTTCATATTTTTAGAGTTTATTCGTGAGGTATTCTTCAAGCTTCTCCGTGTCTGCCGCTAGTTATCCTCGGCTCTCTTTGCAATGGCGGCGCTGTAAACAACAGCGGCGTCCTGACCAATCACAAGCTTGCGTAATCGGTCTCGTTTGACGGATGTTTAAAAAAGTGGGCTCGACTCCGTACGTACTTGCGTGCTGCCGGATCCCTACGCGAGGACGGATAATGGTGTTGCGTGTCTCCGCACTGACGCAGACGGAGAAGCATAAACCAGGCTTAAGTCTTCACCTGCTTGTTAAGCTAATGTAATGGTCACATTGTCAGTATGCATGCTAAGCTGCGCTGCATTTATTTACCTATTTTATCACATTGCTTAGCTTTGATCTTCAGCCCATACTGCTGCTTCACGCTGCCGTTAGCTTCTGCTCACTCAGCTTTGTATGTCGCCGCAGGGCTCCTTCATCCTTGTCAATAAAACCATTTGACATCGAGGAGTGCATTTCTTCACTAAAGGTTGGTTTATGCTTGACGCGTCCGCGAGGTCCGCACTGCTCCACGCGGAAAAGTTGCGTCATTTTGCGTCATCTTAACAACCACGCCCCTCCACCGCGCCTCCGCACGGCCCAAAATTTCCGCAACGCGCACCTAGGAAATTTTCTAACCACGCGGACGGTCAGAAAAACATGGCGGACCGGCAAGAACCAGTATGGCAGAGGTTGGTAAATACAGACATTTGTATGATTCAGCTCTCAGAGATCACCGTGATCAACATGTTGTTAATAATTCTTGGAGGGAAATAACTCGCACTGTCGGAAAAGACGAGAACGCTGTTAAAAATGCTGAAATGCCATGTTGTAAACAACAGTTTTTACTTCTACTATGGTGTAGTGTTGGATGCATGCCGTAGAGCTCCATGCTGCCCCCTACAGTTTGGGAGAATATTGGCTCACCGCAGAGACGAGCCGCATGAACCATAAACGCTGCAAGTTGTGAAGCACGTTCCATCCGCGAGCCGTATCACCAAGTGGAAAGTGAATGCGTCAAGCATAAACCAAGCTTAACACTATATTGGAGCAGGCGGAGGGAGACTAGGGGTCTTAGCACACCTCTGTTGTTACTTGGCTTCCTGGGGCTGGAGGCTAGGAGGGAGATCTGGCCGTCTGGTTGGGGTCTGGGGTGGTGGGTTGCTTTGCTCGGCGTTGGGCGGGGGAGCTTGCTCATCAGCACCCCAGCAGAAAGGGTCAAACTCTGGTAATCGGTGATGGTTGTACCCAATGTGCAGCAGTACCGGGACCAGAGTGAATAGGGTGTGTATGGGGAGCATGAGTGGGTGTCCGGCGTGCATTTTTGTAAGTCTTGGGTTGTATGTGTATGTGTGAGCATGAGGGAGGGAGTGTGTGACTGTGTTTGTGTATGACTGTATATGTCAGGTGGGGCCTTTGACTCCTCCCTTCTCCTGGGACTTCTTGTGATGACATAGATCTTCGTCTCCCCTCCCCCGCCACACCTGTTGTGGAGTGCGGTGCCTTGTTCTGCCTGTGTGTTCGAGGCTCCCGGGTCAGGGGGTTTAAGATTTGTGGCGTCTGCCTGATCAATCCCTGTGGCTGCCTGGTGGGATCTGGGTTCCTGGGCTCTGCTGGGTCCCTAGCGGGGGTGCTCGCTCCTGGGTCCCGGGTCGTTGGGTTCCGGGCTCGGCTGGCTAGGGGGTGGGAGGCTGCAGGCGGGCCTGTGGGCTTGCCGCTGAGATCTCCTGGGACTCTGCCGGCTGCTGGTTGTGGGCCCCCGGGGCGATCCTCTGTGCCTCTTAAGGGGGACAGGGGCTTTTCTGGTCGCGGTCTCCTTGGGGTCCCTGCGCTCTGGGGCAGCTCCTGGATCTCTGGGACTTGGAGCTCCTTCCATCTCCTACACATCTTTAGGGGGCAGATCTGTGGTCCCTCACACTCTCTGTTGGACGCTCCTATAGAGAAACCTTACATAAACAAGCGCGTGTACACACACAGGTGCTCACATGGTGCTCTCATAAGTATGGGCTTGGGCACATTCAACACAGGTCTTAAGGCTGTCGTTGGCACTAAATGCACTGTGATTTATTATCGTGTGATTGTTCAGTTAAACAATGTTGATTTTATATTTCATCATCAGGCTGATGCAGTGATAGCTTGCTCCTGTTGCATTGTCGTGTGTCCCTTTTCTGCAGGTCTAGAAGCCCCCCCCCCCCCCCCCCCCCAGCTTTTGTCTTTTCCTTTCTCTTTCACCTCTGTTTCCGTGTCTGGTCGGAATTACAAAGCATTCAAAAACAATAACAATAAAGTTTTAAGTATGAGGCGTGACATTAAAAGCAAACGCTTTGATGCTCCACCTGAGAGTAAA